CTTGAAGAAAGCAGAGTTTCTTAAGAGCTTCTTGTACACTTGAGTCTTTAAGGTAGAATGATTGGTTCATCATTCAGGATCCCAAAAGGAAACAAGTGGCACATCCAAGCAGAGTAATTTGAGAAAGACGAAATAAAGGGATTAATTACAAGAGGACATGGGGGCACCAGTGAGAGCGAGCAGAGTACCCTATGGCCAGCAATTACAGAGCCTACATTACCTGAGATCTAAAAGAGCAAAGAGAGAGATGACCAGAATCTAAGAGTAGCTGTGTGGAGAGAACCATGGGCCTCAGAAGAGGTATGCCGCTGGATCACGGTATCCTGGCAGGGGAAGGAGCTAGGAAAAGAAATAACTCTGGCCTCCTCCTCCTTCTCTTTGATATCGTGCTGGTGTGCATCTGGTTAGCCAAACCCAGCTGGAAGCCAGAGGGCAAGGGAGCCTGCTCATACTCTATATGGTCAGCTTCCAAGGCACGGAGCAAGGTAGACAAGAGTGGCAAGTGGATCTGGAAGGGCAAATGGGTTCCTGGGCAGTATGTTTGGCTTCGCTAAGGATTGGTTGGTTGTTTAGACTTGGGGTTTTATATTGTCAGTTTTATGCTTGAGGCCTAGTTTGAGTACCACATGGTATGAATGTAAGTAACTCCTTGGTATTCAAGGGACGTGGAAAACAAATAGCTGTTATCGTGGTAAGAGTCAAAGAGAAGTGGGGTGGAGGTGAGAACCCGGAGATGATGTCAGGTTTACTTGAGCTAAGGGGAAGCAGTAGAAAGTAGAGTCAGCTTTTAAAACCAGGTTTGGTGGGCAGATCTGCGGTATGGATTCTCTGACTCAGGCTCCACATGTTCCAGAGATACCTGTCTCTTTTTGTTTTGTTTTGTTTTTAATGTTACTATTTTTTTTCTTTTTTGGGGGAAGGGGGATTACAGAGAATATCCCTTTCTTGCTCTGATATGGCTTAATGTCTAATTCATATTTCCACTTGAATTTCAATACAATATATTAACCTTATGGCTTCTCATGGCTTTTCTGCCTGGAGATGAAGTAGGGTGATGCCGACCTGGGCTGATCTTGTGCTGGGTCATGCTAACCTGTGGTAGCCTAACATCTCAAGATGCTTTCAGTGGTTGGGATGTCCTCTTCTCTCTACCCATCCCTATCAAATTTTTTTTCCCTATTAAATTTCTATAACAGCTTTATTGAGATACAATTCACATACCATACAATTCATTCATTTAAAGTCACAATTCAGTGACTTTTTAATGTATTCACAGAGTTATGCATCCATTACCATAATCAATTTTAGGACATTTCATTACCTTCCAAAAGAAATCCCACCCACTTAGCGGTCATCTCCCAACTCTTTTATTACCTCCCTCTCCCAGCCTTAGGTAATCTACTTTCTGTCTCTGTAGGCTTGCCTGTTCTACACGTTACATATAAATGGAATCATATAATCAGTGGTCCTTTTGACTGGCTTCTTTCAGTTAGCATGTTTTCAGGGTTCATGTTGTAGTGTGTATCTGTGCTTCTTTCTTGTGGCTGAGTAATAGGTTTATGGATGGATAAACCACATTTTGTTTATCCATTTATCAGTCAGTAGTTGTTTGTATTGTTTCCACTTTGGGCTATACACAAATAATGTTGCTCTGAAACTCATGTACAGGTTTTGTGTGGACATACGTTTCCACTTCTCTTGGGTACATACTTAGGAGTGGAATTGCTGGGTCACATGATAACTCTGTGTTTAACTGTTTCAGGAACTGCCAAACTGTCTTCCAAAGCAATTGCATCATTTTACATTCCCACCAGCAGGGTGAAAGGGTTCCAGCTCCTTCACAGCTCACCAACACTTGTTATTTTTTATGTAATCAAAGTTACTTTTGATTAAAGCTATAGTCTTTTTATTACAACCACCCTAGTGGATATGAAGTAGTATCTCATTATGATTTTGATTTGCAGTTCCCTGTGGCTCCCCATTTAAAGTTTAATATCCTACTCATCCTTCAAGGTGCAACTCAGACATCTTTGAGAAGCTTTTCCCTCAGGAATTGTTTCTTCTTCCCTGATCTTACACCACTTTGCTTGGATCTCCATTAGCACACGTGTTTTTTTCTGCTGGTTACCTAGCTTGTACTCTCTGGTTTGTGAATTACTGAACGGCTCCTTGTGGGTATGTGTTTAAATTTGTTATGAAATGTTTCACTTATATACGTACTCACCTGTGAGTCTGCGCTGCATCAAGCAGGACTTGCATGTAGTTGGCATTCAGATATTTACTGAATGACTCAAATAATGCAAAGGGTCTCATGAGTGAGTACTTTCTGGAAGAGTGGACTTTCTCTTATTGGGAGATATTATGATAGAACTCAGGAAATAATGTATTTTAGGAAAAATGTTCAAGTATGTTATATGTCTTAGAGACCACTGGCTCTAGGAACTTGCTTGTGGATCATCCGTATCCAGGTTGTAAATGGAATTTTGATGTCAGGCCACTGGATTGTTTATCTGTGAGACTTTCTTAGGGGTTTGTTAAGATGATACACAATTAGCAAATCCCCTAAGTTTGTTTTACTCCTTTCAGCAAATTGCCATGCCTATAGTCTGTGCTAGGAACTTAAGTAGACACTAGATGTGGGATGGGGTTTTCTCTTGCTCTCGCGGTAATAAAGTTAAGGGCCCAGGATGGGGATGACTTTCATAGCAAATGAATGGATACAGGATTTGTGAATTTCGTTAAACCATGCAAAATGAACACTTGATCAGAGAGCCTTATTTTGATTTTAATTAATAAGTAGCTCATCTGCCTGGATCCTTCTCTTAGAGATCTGATGGAAGACTAGTGATTAGGAATTAGGCTTTGTATCACGTCTACCATTATGATCTCTTACAAGAGAACAAAGGGAAAAACACTCTTGTGTCTCTTAGTTTCCTGTAACTCAGCAAGGCAGGAAACCTAAAATTCCTGCTACAGGAAGAGGGGAGTTTGATCTTTCTTTTTCTGGATGAAGATGAAGGAGTTATTTCTCCATCCCCATACTATAAGCCCTTCCCCAGATTGTTACCCCCAGAGATTCTTATAAGCTGTCTTACAGCATAATTCTCTGCCCATCCTTTAAACATCACCCCACCAATCTTTAGGGGACTAAAGTCTCTTCAGTGTTTTATCTGAAATGTCTCAGCCCTGAATAATAAAAGAGCAAAACAGAAGGATTGTTTTATAATCTAGACATAAGTAACTTTCTGAGGAGGTCAAAGAGAGGTAGTTCTGAAGATGGTCAGGGCCAGCTTGCTGTGTAGGTATCCAGGTACTTTGCCTCACGGCCTCAAATCTCTTCATGTACTTTCTATAAAAACACCTCTTCAATATGAAAATGAGTATATGTATATATATGCATGACTGGGACATGTATGCTGTACACCAGAAATTGTCACATTGCAACTGACTATACTTTAATTTAAAAAAAAAAAATTTCTCCAGAGTTTTCCTGGATCCTTAAGAACTACTAGGGGAAACATCAAATCTGCAGACAAGTAACAGCTCAATGTGGGTGAGTTATCTATAGTTTGCAAAGGAAGGAGAATTTTGTCCTTTAAATAGAAGACCTTCATTTTTAAGACTCTAGATTTTAAAAGAATAATCATAATTGACATTTCATACTTTCTGTATGCCATGTTAAGTACTTTATATCCATTAACTCATTTATCCCACCTTTCTTTGACTTTTATGTGTGGCTGTTTTATATGTGGCTCTGCGAGAGGAGTGGCCCTTCTGGAAAACATCCAAGGCCACCCCTTCTGGTGTCCTCACACACCTTTTAGTGATAGATTCTAGTCTCCAACCAGTCTTACATCTGCTGTTGGGAGGAAGGTATATCTCAGTGGTGGAGTGCATGCCTAGCATGCACAGGGTCCTGGGTTCAATCCCCAGTACCTCTGTTTAAAAGAATAAGCAAATAAATAAGCCTAAAATTACCGCCCCTCCTCAAGAAAAAAAAATTTTTTTAAAAGGAAACAAAATTTTTAAAAAAGAAAAAAAAATTTTTTTAAATCTGCTATTCCCTATCATTTACATTCAGTCAACTCATTTTTGCAATTCAATGAATGTTTCCTATTCTACCTTGATAACCTATTGCCACAGACAGGCACTTGGGTTTCACTGGCAGATCCAAAGCCAAAAAGCCCTAGCCCTGAGATTGCTTCCCACCTTCAGGGATCACAGTTGAAATTCCTCCCTTTCCCAAAGAATTAGTGAAATACGAGAACCTTCTAAAAGCATTAATACCTCATTTGTAGGCCTACATTTCTAAGGCACTTCTTTCACTTTTAGCTAAGAAATCAAACTTCAGAGCTCTTACCACACTAATTACTGGGCTTTTCATGCCTTCCCTGCCTAGTCCTGTTATTTTTAAGATATTCAAACATTTACTAAATGCATGAATTAATCAATATTTATTCTAACAGTACTCAACATATATCCATCAAGCAGATAACTTCACATTCTGCAAGTCTGAATTTAACTTCTATACTTTTTCCTGATCCCCCTTCATGTCTAATATCTCCTAGCTACTCTCACCACCTCTGGTCTCCTACCCCTCCAAACCAGCTTGGATAAAGCCACAGGTGTTAGCTTTCTCATGTCATTTCTCTGTTTATAAACCCATTAATGTTTCCCAGTCACTTTCAGAATTAAATCTCCTTCATAAGAAAACTCATACCTACCCTCTTCTGCTGGATAGCTTTACATATTCCTTTGCTGCTTGATAATATACTACCATCCTTTATTTCAAAAGGCAAATTTAATACCATCCCAGGTATCTGGGCCAAATGTGAGGGTCCTTGTTTTAAAGAGTTCAAATCTTGAAATCATTAGGGGCATAATACAATTGAGTCCTCTTCTAAATGACCACTAATCCAAACAACTTTAAGAATTCCACCTACATGAGTACAAACCAAAGTTATAAGTGGAAACCTACCAGTTTTTTTTTTTTCTTCTAGGAGCCAAACAAAACTACATGTCATCCAAAGATACGAAGCTAACAGATGGATGCTCCAGTAGCATCCCTTCCTTAAGAGAACCTGGAGTACTGACAGGTCAACCATTTCCATTTCAGCTCCTCTAACAACCCTGAATTTGATCCTTACATAAAAATGACAGTTTTTCACCATAGCAATAAATATCAAGTTACCTTTAAGATTTAGACTCTGCTTCTGTTTATGAAATCTCCCATAATGCAGCAGGACTAAGGAAAACATCTTGTTCCTTATTTTCTAGCTTAGGCCCTGACAGAGGACCAGTGGCCTCAGAAGACTGTTTCAGACTAGTAGGAATCAAGAGAGACAGTATTTCCCTGCCCTTCCTCCCTCAGGAAGGCTATTTCAGTCCTCTGGGCCCTCATATATACGACCCCCTTTCTCTCTTAATACATAGGTAAACGTGAATTATTAGTTTGCCTTCATTATTATGTCTCTCTGAATAGTTAATTTTGGGAAACCAGATAAGCTTTACCTTGAGGCTTTCTCATCTTTTTTCCCTCGGATTCTCTCGCACCTCAAAGTGAATATTTTTCTAATTTTTCTCTTCGGAGCCAAACCTATATAGCAATTTCAGAAGCTGTTTGGGAATAGCAAGAGATTAACGTTTTTGGTTTTGTTTTGTTTTGTTTTCCTGAATGGTATTTTTTTTCCTAGTAATTTTCCTGGCCTTGCAGCAAAGTTTATTATTGACTAAGTCAGTTTTAGATTATAGATAAGACCTTAGTATTAAATCCAAATTTATAACCATGGTAGCAAACCGATAGCTTCTTTTCAGTGTATTTCTTTCCCCAGTGACCCTTGTGTTCTTATTTGGACAGTCCTAGCATCACTGGTACTTGCTCTTAGAAATATCCTCCCATATTGGGAAAGGGGACAGGTAAACTCTCCCTGAGGCAGGTGAGCTCGTCTGCTAGTGCTCGGCATGTGATGTGATGCTGCTAGAGTTGCTTTTGCTGCCACTGTTGCTGCTCCCAGGCCTGGAATCTCACATTTAGAAGAAGCTTGGCTTTCTCAGCTAAGGATCATAATAGTAATTCCTTAGAGGTGAAGAAAGGCAGATCTTAGAGAGTGATCTCCAGCAGTGATCTTCTTTTTCTGAACTCAGGAACAAGCATGGTTGGAGTATAGGTCACAGTCTTCTTGCCTCTACTTTAAATCAGTTGGTGCACTTACAATAGGCGTGATAACGGACAGGCCTAAACGGTTGGTATTTGATTATTACTGCAGATGTACTAATTCAGTGGCGTTTTCAACGTCATTCTTACAGCAAGTGCTGCCATTTTTAGCACTGGATGTATGACTTTTAAGTTTATTTGTCCTATTTTTGTCTTGTTGTCTGAAAGTTGCTTAAAAACATGCACATGCCCCCATCCCCTGCCCTGCACTTACTGCCTATTGCTGCCATCACAGAGGAATAATTCATATTCCTCTGGCGTGTGGATTATTCTGTATGGGAAGTCATAGTGTAAGTGTTGGCAAAGAGAGGGACAGGAAATATAAAAGGTGTATGAAGAGCTACAATAGATCATGAGTTTTTGGGCCATTCTACAATATGGTATTGGGTTTCTTTGCTGCAGTAAAGACCTAAGGAATAAACTGTATTTGCAAGAGGGTGCACATTTGTGATTGTATATAGTGATAAAAGTGGGGAAATACCTCCTTCAGCATCTTTTGCCAGAGCAAAGACTTTTATTTTAAAGTTTGCTAAAGGTCAGAGGCGTGAAATATGAGAGGCACATTTCACATTAATTAAGATTCTTTGGCGGGATGTTTTCCCCCCTTCGATATCCCTCGCCACCATTACCACCACCAAAAAAGGGGGGGGGGACACCTAGAGATGAAACTCGCATTTTAGAGAGAAGTAATTCCAAATAGATTTATCCTATAAAGCGCTTTAAGGCAAGGGAGAACTAGAATATGGGTATGATAGAGTAAAATGCACTGTATTATAGAAAATTATGCAAATTTAGAGTCTTATGAGCCATATATAAATATATACACTAGAAGCCTGATTAAAGCATAAAGATATAAAATATGTGATGAAGCAATGGATCCATGTTCCAGGCACCCTGGTACTTTGTCTCCAACAGAAGTACCCCAAAAATGGAGCAGAGTTTGGTTGCCTGTCCTGGTGTCAGTGGTGAAAGATTAGCGATCTTGCACCCCAAATCCTAGATTTCCTTGACGATACTTTATGTATTATTCATTCAGTTAAACTTTTAAAAGCTTTAAAAACAAGCTTATTTTGACCTCTCATTATTCATGAAAGATAGGGAGGACAGTTACATATTTTCTTATTCTATGGCAGAGAGGAAGTCCTTCAGTTGTTTTTTTTTTTGTTTTTTTTTCAATTGTCCTATTGACTTCGCTGCTGTTAAACCTTGGACTGATTCTTTCTAAGGAACCAAAATACTCCTCACTCTTGAGCATCTAAACGTGTAATCCTGACCTTCTGTTCTTCATGTCTTCCTGCAGCCATACGTGTCATTGTCTCAGCAGATGGCACCACCCAGTCCAAGCAGCAGTACCCCTAACAGCAGCAGTGGGAGCAGTGGGAATGACCAGCTGAGCAAAACCAACCTCTACATCCGGGGACTGCAGCCAGGCACCACTGACCAGGACCTAGTCAAGTTGTGCCAGTCGTAAGTTGGGGTATACGTGGGGAGGTTTCCAGGGACAGCATGGATTTGGTGATAGTGGCTTTTTACCAGATACTCTGATTCTGAAATGCAGTATTATTTTGCTTCTAGACCATAGTCGCAAGGTTTCTCAGCAGCCACTGTTAAGGAAATGCTACTTACTACCAATGTATAAAATGTTTATGTTTTTCTCTGAGGAAAGCTGGTTAGGGCTTTGTTTCCAGCAGGTACCGAAGAACTGATGGTCTTAGTGGAAAGATTCCTGTCCTTACACCTTGAATAGAAATGCTCACTATCTCTGAAGATACTCACTGGAAGACAGAGCTGGCAGTGAGGATAGAAGAAAGTTGGACTAGCCAACTGAATTACACACCTAGGAGAATTTCTGCTGCTGGAGTTATTCCTAGTGACCCAGAGAAGCCCTCAGATTAGTGGATGAAGAAGAAGATGGGCAGAGAGGTTGTTACTCTGCACCTACCCGCTAAAGGCCTCTGGGGTTCCTCAGCATAGATTTGAGTCATTAGATGGAGATAACACCATGGAATTAACCCAATTAGGAAAGCTGGAAAAATTACAGGAGTGCAGAGATGCCAGCTCAATTCCATTTGGCAGAAAAATATGTGTTTCAGATCATTTATATGGGGGACTGATTAGAGGCAGAAGTCTAGGGTGGGATGGGGACATTAATGGGGAAGGAGAAATTGAGTTTGGAAAGAGAAATAGGAACCTTAGTCTGTGTAAATTTATCATCTTTTAAAACTTTGTTGAAGTATAACAATTTGTGAAAAGTGCACAAATCGTGTTTACAGAAGAGAAAATTTTCACAAGGTGAACACATCCTTATAACAGTCCCTTGCAACCAGATCAAGAAATAGAACATTATCCACTTTTCAGAAGCCCACCTCCGAGTTACAATCTCTCCCCCTTCCCCTAATGGTATCTGCTCTTTGGCTTCTAAACAGTTGATTGATGTGTCTTATTTGAACTTCATATAAATCATAGTGATGTAGCACGTATCCTTTTATGTCTGGTTTCTGTTGCTCAGTGTTGTTTGTGAGATTCATCTACATTGTTGCACGGAGCAAAATTTTCTTCATTCTTACCGCTTTATAAAATTCCATCCTAGGAACTACCAGTTTATTTACCCATTCTCCTGTTGCTGGGCACTTGGGTTGTTGCCAGTATGTGACTACTATGGGTATCAGTAGTGCTGCCATGAGCTTTTTGGTGTATGTGTGTACGCATTTATGTTGGTTATGTACCTAGGAGGAAAATGACTAAGTCAGAGGATATACACTTGCTCAGGTTTTGTAGATACTACTAAAGAATTTTCTGCAGTGGTCAAACTAACTCAAACTCCCACAACAGTGTATGTACGTTATAGCTGTCCCAAAGGCAGAACATCCCCCTACCCGGAATGTAGTTGTGTGAGGCATCAGAGGTATTCTGTACACCCCTAACTCTTCTGAAGTAGTGGTTTTTGGATTTTTGCTAGCATCAGGCTGCACAAAATCAATCTCTGTAAGGCTAGATATGTGTATAAAACTAGATGGATCCTTTCCCTCAGCTTACCTTGCTAGAAAAGTATTTAAATGGAACTTAGGAGACTTAGTCTAGGACTAGTAATTTTTTGAAGGAATGAGAATTGGCAAAAATGTTAGTTGATGAGGGAAAAGAGTATCATATCAGTCTAGTTCCTTGATTTCTTCACCTCGTGTTTCTTGTACTAAATATAATGTGCTACTAAAATCAGTCTTCTTCACAAGACAGAGGAAAAACCCAGTTCTGCTTCACTATACCTTTAGACTTTCATTTTGTCCTTCCCAGTAGTTGCCTTACCTTTTGCTGTGTCTAACGGGATGAGAACAGTCAGGGTCGGCACATAGGATGGAAGTAAGGAGCCCAGTAGGGGACTGTGGAGAGGTCGGAACGAGGCAGGGAAAGAATGGGTGCAAGGAGGGGTTGTGAGGAAAGGGAAGCTGAGAAGAGCAGGAGGTGGAACCCTCATGGCTGCTATGAGGGAGGAGGCAAACCTTTCTACGAAGGGTGTTTCCGTGCGTAGAGGGACTTCTTGCCTTTGTCCCAGTTGTCTCTTTAGGTTGTAAGGGAAGTGAGCTTTGCTGGATCCTAAGCCCTGGTGGGTGGGAAGGAGAGGCGTGGAGGCTGGGCCTGGAACTCCTGGTTCTCTTGGAGGGGCTCCTTCCGAGAAGGAAGCAGCGCGACCCAGCTGTTGCCAGCTGCAGTGGAAATTCTGAGCGCAAAGTCTCAGGCTGCTCAGACCACAGCAAGCTCCACCCTGGGGCCTTGATAGGGATAGCAGCATGTGTGTCCTCTGGCTTACAGCCTCTTGCATCCCTTCCCTTGCCTAAATTTGGGAAAGAATCCAAGGATGTAGCCCTGAAGGGTTAGGATCGCCACATCCATTCCAGCCTCCAGGGCATTGCTTGGCTTGCTCTGTGTGATCCACTGGGTCACAGAGCCCCACTAAAATAGTCAGTGAGGGGCCACCACGGAGCGAAACAAATACATCAATCATATATTCTTCAGATCCCTAAATGAGATGAGAGGTAGAAGAAAAAGTTTATTTGAGGTCTTGGTCTCAAATTCAGTCCCTGCCAACTGCTTTCAGTTAAATCTTATACTTCTGACTTTGTTAGTGATCTCTGTTCTGTGTCTTTAATATCTTCCCTCTCCTGGAGTGGAATGTAGAGACTGCATCCTGGTGGCACACTTCAGATATAATCCCTGACCTGTGATACTCCCCTGCTCAGGTTTGGGGAACTCCTCGTGACTCTGCTGCCAAAGTATCATTTTCAAAAAGTTGAAAAACATAATTCTTGGACAAATATAGGCAAACACATGCCAAATGTTTATTTTACTCATTCATGAGAAAACTAGCAGGATGGTAAAATGGGTTCGAAGTGTTTGAGGGACTGAGTATTTATGGTACTGAAGAAAGCTTACTGAACTTACTGAAGAAAGATTACTAGGTTACAGACAAAACTGGTTCATACCCTATAGGACAATAAAGCAGTAACCTTTGAGATGATCTTTTCTACCGGGCAGAAATTATTTGCATTTATACCGGATAAAAATCTACAAGTTAATACGTGTTTTCACAAAATCTGGGCTCTCATCAGTAGTAAATAGTAAGTCAAACAAAGAAACATCCCCCTAGATAATAAAATATACCTTGAATGGGCCTTTTAGACAGTGCTCCAGAATTACATTGAAAGGCTGTGCGGTCCTCATTTTGCCTTATCGTCAAGTTTTGGATAATTTTCTTAACACAGATGTTGCATTTGGTCTTATGCCCATTCCCCTCCCTAACACATATCTTGACAATAAGGAATAGAAGTCTTAGAATGCAGTGAAGCAGGAAAGAGCCATTTGCATTAGGTTAAAGTTGAAATCCCTTGAATATAATAATAATAGCAGTTAAGAATTTTCAGGTGTTTAACCACGTGGTAGACATTAGTGCTTTATATTCATGAACTCATTTCATATTCCTAACAATCCTATCTCAGTTTTACAGATAGTAAGACTGAGGTAAAGGATGAATAACTTGTCAAAGATCACACTTAAAGTGGCAGAACCAGGAGTTGAACAAAAGCAGTTTGACTCAAGTTGACCTTCAATCAGGGGGCTAGTAGAGGGGTGAGGAATGGGGTGTCAGAGAAGAGAAACAGTTTTTCATAGGAGGAGTGGTGTTTGTCCAAAGGAAGATAAGTAATATCAAGGATTATTTTTAGTCCTCAAGGAATTCTAGCCAGAGCTCTGCCCTTACACACGCTGCTGTGTGGATGTGGCCAAGCTTCCTTCCTCAAAAGACAGTAGTTTCTTTCTAACTTGTATCTGAGTCTTATTTGGGGAAGAAGAGAGAAAGATGTTGATATTATAGGGACTACAGTTACCTTATTTCTTGTAGCTACCTTGAGGGAATGGGTTTATGTAATAAGTATGACATTTTAAATTTACTTCTTTGTTCTAAGGTTTGAGTAGGTACAGTTGTCCTAGTGGCAGTGAAGAAAGGACATGGATTCATCTAGATGTCTCAGTCTCTGTCCTGTTCTAAACCCCTGCTCCCAGATCATCATTTCGCATTTTCCTCTCCCTTAGATACGGCAAGATTGTCTCCACGAAGGCCATCCTGGACAAGACCACAAACAAATGCAAAGGTGAGAGAACAGCTGTGAGCGAGGCCACCCCTTGCCTCTGCCCTTTCCTGCTGAAAGGCCCTGGTATTCAGTGCCAGAGAGGGGTTTCTGAGGTTTTCAAGCCCAAAAGGCTCGTAGATGCTGACTCGGCTCCAGCCGAAAGCGCTGTTCTGGGGGCCCAAGGCTGGCAGCCTGCGCAGGGTGCCGCTGAGTCCCTTGGGCTTACTTTGGATGTCAAGCTTCCCCAGATTGGATGGTGGATATAAGTATAGATTATTCCTACTTAGCAAAGCACTGTAAATGCCTTTTGGTGGTGGAGAAGGAGTGAAATAGTTTTGTTGGTGTTTGAGCAATTCTGGATAGGAATGGAGGAGTGCAAGGGAGGGGAGAGGGCTGTGCGTTGGGGTAGGAAGGGGCCCCTTCCAGCAGGTGGCTGGTTGTCTGCAGTGGAGAGGCTGTGTTTCCTACATGCCTAGTGTGTCGAGCACGGCTGGAATAGAGGAAGAGGTTCTTTGGGGAGTAGAGTGGGGCTGTGAATTTTTAGAAGGGCCTAGTTCTTAAAACCTCACATTTCTTAACGGGGAGGGAGGAAGGCAAGGACACCATAAAGACCTCATTGCCTTTGGCTTTCTTAGCTATAAAGTGGACCAAATATCACAGGTTTTGAGGAACACATGGATAACCACCTGAAACCTCTCAATTTCTCTTCTTCACTACCACGTCTGTTACGTGGACCATAACTCTTCCTCTGTTTCCTGAAAAGCCTGGGCCTCCTGCCTCCCTTACACCCTCACCTCCCCATGATGCTGTTTCCCTGTTCCAGGCTACGGCTTCGTGGACTTTGACAGTCCTTCAGCAGCACAGAAAGCTGTAACAGCACTGAAAGCCAGTGGTGTGCAGGCACAGATGGCAAAGGTAAGGATACTACCCGCTGTCTGTCCCTCTGAGGGCTTGTGATTAGCACCAAAGGCTTCCAGAGGGCTTAAGAGCCATGCAGTTGACGGCCAAGGGCTTATTTACACTGCTTTTGACTATGTTTGGCCGGAGAGTCGGGGCCAGGGTCCCCTTGAGCACCTCTTGGCTTGGTACTCAAACTCTGTGGCAGGTAGCTTTGTCTGTCAACTCTGTTCCTCCCGTCAAGTATTATAAGCAGGCAAGAGGGTCAGGAGGCTCCTTCCCTTCCTCTGGCTGTTTCCCCATCTCCACCCTGGCCCCACTTCCCCACCCGATAGCTTGCGGCATTTTTGCAACATTCTCTGAAGAAGCCAGTTGTGCAACTCAGAAGTTCAGATCAGTGCTGTCCACCTCTCAACACTATTCCCTGTGTGTGTGTGTGTGGAGGAGGGTGGGACTTGGGAGGGGTCTGGGAGAGGACAGCCACAGCAAGGAAAGAAACTGTTCCTCCTTTCTCAGATCTGTCTGGAGCTTTTCTTTTCATTTGGACTACTGGAAGGCTCGTGGCTTTTCTCTCCCTTCTTAGGTGGGAGTGCCCCCTTGCCTTTCTAAAGTCATTGTGAATACTCTGGGTAGATTCTGAAGAGACAGGCCTGACAGCATCCTATTCCGGAACGGTTGAAGAAACAGGAAGCCCTGAAGGGAAAGGCAGAAGAGGGATTAAGGTTGCTGGTGACCCACTGTCTATGGCAAAGTGACTGCTTAAATTTTAATTGTACAGCTCTGACAAGCTATTGCCATTTTGCACATGCTGCCCCCTGGAAGGGCTCTCCCACTTCTTTCTGGAGAAGAGCCCCCTGCCAGTAGAGTGCCTGCAGAGTTCCTCTGAGACTAGAACTTGCAGGGCTCCGTGGCGGCCCAGGGAGCTGCGCGCCTGGCCCTTAGTGCCGCCCCAGCACTTGGCTTCCCTTTACCCTCTCCGCTCTTCCTGCTTTCCCTCCGTCGGGGAGTGCGCAGGGGCAGCGCGCAGGCCTTCCTCCTCTGAGGAGTCCGCTGTGACCGGAAGAGGGGGGAGGGGGGACTACTCAGAACAATCTGCCGGCTGGGAAGCAAAGGCAGTCCCAGAGAGTCCGGCCTCTGGGACAGGCTGCTGGGCTGCTGGGCTGCTGGGCTGCTGGACGGTAGAGGGGAGTGCTGTTCTGCCTGGTTCTTAAAGAGACAGCCAAAACTTCATCAGTGACCTGTATTACGGGCTTGCTCAGTGCTACAAATATTAAATCTGCCTCTTTTTTTTGCCTGCACTCAATATAAACTCCGTGGCAGTGGGACTAGGTGTTACAAATAGTTAAGAGTCTCTTTTTTCATATGGATCCCTTCCTACTCTCTTTTCTAAGCTGTCGGCTGAGGGTTGGAGAGGGATAGGAGATGTGAAATTCGCGTTTTCACCTTTATTTCCACAGCAACAAGAGCAGGACCCCACAAATTTATACATATCAAACCTCCCACTGTCAATGGATGAGCAAGAACTGGAGGGGATGCTGAAGCCCTTTGGCCAGGTTATCTCCACTCGAATCCTCCGAGACACCAGTGGGACCAGCAGAGGCGTTGGCTTTGCGAGGTGAGAGATGCCAAGAATAGGAAATGTTGAGGTAAATAAAGAATGTCACTTAGCAGGTCACCAAAAGCCTGTGCCCACCCCCTACCCCACCCCGACCAAACTATTGGCCAAAAGTGCTTGACAGAAAATCAAAAGTTCATTTAATTATAGGTCACAATATTCACAGACCCATTTGCTCCCAAATCTTTATCTTTTTCCCACTACTTCCTGCTACTCTAGCCTTTGTTCCTTTGATCCAGACCCAACCAGAATAAAGCAATTCCGTGACTTCTTACAGTTTACTGAGTGGTTTCTCATCCTACGATCTCATTTAATCTTTATAACAACCTGGTGAAATTAATATTCTTCATTTTATAGATAAAGAAACCAAAGTCCCCGTATGAAGTGATTTGCCCAGGGTCTCTTGGAGAGGGTGGTAGAGCAGAGTCCTTATCGTTCTGGCTTCAAGATCAGTAGGATGGAGTAGAAGATTTGGTGCCTTTTTAAGATCTGTTGAGAGACTTAGATTTTAGAACCAACTCTGCCACTAACTGCCTGTGTGACCTTGGACCTTTGTGAGCCTTGGTTACTTACTCTGTGAAGTGGAGATTAACTTAGATGAGTGATTTTCTTAAGGTGTTCCTAGAGCTGCAGTTTTCCAGGATGCCGTCTTCTGAGCTTTGGTGTCACTGTCGTAGCCCACTTAGGGAGTGGTTCTGCTTTTATTTATTTTAAGATTTGCTTAAAAGGAGATTCTGTCACTTTTCTAAAAAGTTTAAAAACTACTAGACCAAGTGATCTGAAGTTCCCTTTTTGCTTTGTAATATATTGTCTGGTCCGAGAATACACCCTTACTCTGGAGTCTTTCAGACCTTGGGAGCCAGGGGTAGGTCCTCTTCCCTTGCCAACTCAATCTTGGTAGCACCACCTGCTGGCAACCCCAAGTATAACCAAAGGGAAAAGGTTTCTAGGCTTGTGTTCATCAAAACTTGTTTTGCTCCTGTACTCTCTTAAAGCAGATGTTCCAGCTAATGGTACCTTAGTTGTCCTAATAATTTTTTTTGGCCCTAGACCAAAAGAAATACTTCACAGTTCAATTTATTAAGTAATTAAATGGTCTAAACAACTCAAAAAGTGTTTATTACCCTAACAGTTTTGTAGCTATTTGAAAAATACATTGAAGAAGAAAGTATTTTTTATTTCATGATTAAATAGCTCTACTTACTAGTGCGATGTGCGCCTGTTGGACACTGCACAGCTTCTCAAACATTTAGAATCAGACGGGACACTTACACCCTTTTCCTGTTGTACGTTGGTTTACATTGGTTTTCTTGTGGTACTTGCTTTTGTCATAGCAACTGTTGAAAAACCAGCTTTGCAAAAACACATTATCTGAAAGAGTGTAGGGTAATCTAATGTTGAAATGATGAACTATTTAGAGGTAGTAGTCCTTATAGTAGAGATCCAATAGCTTTTGCTGTGTTTTCCTCAGAAAGTTAAAATATCCCTTGCTGAGCCTCTCTGAGCTCCTTGCAGTGGCCCAGGGCACCTCAAAGTCCAGTTTGGGAACATGGCTTTGTAGGCTTGAAAAACTATGAAATCTTTTACATGTTTCTTTTCTAGTACTCATAACTCTTACATCATTCTTACAGCATCATCTTTTTTTCTTCTTGATCTTGTATTTCCATTTCATTTCTCTACAGAATTGTGTTAGAGTGTAAAATGTTTTTTATAGTTGAAAGCATTTCTATGGACCATTCTGTTATGCTTCTCTGCAACAAACATATGTATATAAATTAAATTTTATTCTGTGGCCCTGAGTCTGTATGCATTAATCCATAAGAAAATTATCTTTATAATTGGTTCACAGTTACCCCAAAGAACATAAATATGTTAAAATCTTGATACGAATTTATTTTATATTAGGTAAATTTTATTGGAAATGCTCCTTTTTGATTTTTATAATTAGGTCATATAGCCATCAGTGAATATTGTTTACTACTGTAACAAGATGGGGTTTAATATCGGTTCTGTTCTTCTGTTTTGCTTTCATGCTGAGAAACCTTGTTCACATAAATAAGTAAATGGAGATGGAAAGAATTTTGCTAAAATAGAAATTCTTTGAATCCCTTCTGAATTATATGCCAAGAACCAGGGTGATAAAGCATCAGAATTGACTTTTGTTGTGTGCCAGTTAACAACTTGTTGAGTCCTCTAGCTTTGTCGGAAGGGAAAATTGAAACATCTGACTTACAGAAAGATTTGTACCTCAGTCATTAGTGCCGTGTGTTGAGCTTTGGGACAAGTGTGAAGCAGATTGAGCAGAGAGGTTGTGAAAGGGAACTTTAACCCTGATCACGAGTGATCTGAGCTCTCCCTCGGGCAGATCAGTTATAAGAGAGAGTTTATGAGGAAGTTGAGGTTCCGAAAGTGATTTTCTTAAAACCTTTCCTTGCCTGCTCACCCTTTTGAAAGACTAAGGAGTAGGAGTAACCCAACTGAAGGCTACTTGCTCTAGGACATCTAACATGTTTTTCTTTAAAAGGTTCCATCTGAGGTTATGTTTTTTGGGTAACTGCCTTCGTAGGAATGCTTCATATTTTTAGTAGTTACTGGCATAGAAAATATACTGAGACTTACTTTAAATATGGAAAGAAGGGAAGATACTGTACCCTGCATTAGATAGACCCTCATGGTTTTTAGAACACTTTTATATACATGATCTCATTTGATCTGCATAGATAGTAGTAAGGTAGATGGATGTTTGGAGTGGAAATGAGTGAGTCCTAGGGGTTCTCGAGGATGTTCTGACTCACAATGCCTTTGGGTGGTTAGCTGACACTGGAATCCAGATTTTCTGATTACTTACTCAGTCCTCTTTCCCCAAAAAAGACACTTGAACTCAGTAGTTCCCAACATTTTTTTTTCCTATCACGATGGACCATAAACCCTGTCTTAATACTCTTTCCTCCTACAGACTCACGAAATCTTAATGATGTTGCCAGTAGCTAATTAGACCTTGATAATTATAACCAGAAGCAAAAAATAAAATATTGGCAAATTCTTAGCTTGTGCAGTTTTATCAGAGTGAATGAGCAATTTCTGTTAGGAATTCTGTAGTAAAAAAAACAATGGGAACGGCCACTATTTATTGTATTCTTATTTATGGACCCAGAAACAGTACTAAGCCCATCCCGCAGGATCTTCTTTGGAACAGGCGTGGCTTGAAGACCTCTGTTATTCCTTTCAGGACCCCTACAAGCGCCAGTTGGAAAAAAACCTTACAGGCTTCGTTAGAAGCTGGGGTTCCCTCTTCAAGATACCTTGAATCTGTGTGGAGGAAACTCTTTGTTTCTATAGTGACAACATTTGGAGCATTTGTGGGGCTGGGAACTTAGAGCTTTCTCTTTGAATGTAGGGAGAGTACAGATCCTGCAGAAGCTAGAGCCTAACCCCTCTTGTGCTCCTCAGGATGGAGTCCACAGAGAAGTGTGAAGCCATCATCACCCACTTTAATGGAAAATATATTAAGACACCCCCTGGAGTCCCAGGTGAGGCCTTTGGGAATCAGGCTGAGAGGGCCACAGGTTATTGCTTCCTGAGGAGCTTCCGGAGGATTTTTGCGTGAGTGAGTGAACTGAGGTGGGGCTCAGCTGCCTGTCCGCTTTCTCTCTTGGCAGCCCCATCTGATCCCTTGCTTTGCAAATTTGCTGATGGTGGTCCAAAGAAACGACAGAATCAAGGAAAATTTGTGCAAAATGGACGGGCCTGGCCAAGGAATGGAGACATGGTAAGAGGCCCTCTGGGAGGGAAAGGAATACTAAGGACATTGAAGTGGAGTGGAAGTTACCATGGCGTGATGTCTGTGAGCTTAGGTGGCAGCTTGAGAGCTGCAGTGTGTAACCGAGAGATGCTGGCTGCTTAGCGTGCTCTTCAGTGTGTGTCTTGAGTGGGATTTTGCAGCCTGAACAACCAGAAAAACTTGAACAGCTGTAGTGCGACTTGTCCAGACCTCACCTTAATCAGTTGAACCAAATACCTCCCCAGCCTTGATGTTCTGGGCTTGCTCCTGTTCTCACCTAAGGGCTCACAATATGCTGCTGTGCTCTTTCTTGTAGGGCGGTATGGCCTTGACCTATGACCCCACCACAGCTCTTCAGAATGGGTAAGGGTGTTTTATATAAAGAGGCCACCTGAAAATGACAACAGCCTGTGTCCAGGCACTCGGATGCTTCGTCTTAATTTTCAAACGGCAGTTAGTGGGAAGTGGCTGTGTCTGTCAGTGGGGCCTGGCCTTGTAGTTCCCTGTGACTCTTCACTGATGAGGTCCCTTCCTACAGGTTCTACCCTGCTCCTTACAACATCACCCCCAACAGGATGCTTGCTCAGTCTGCACTGCCCCCATATCTTGCATCTCCTGCGTCTTCATATCAGGTATGTTCATGCCCAGAAGAGGTTATGGGGGTTTTCCCTATCATTGCGTGTTAGGTGAAGGAGTATAGGGCTGGAAACGATTTTTTTCCCTTTATGCATATTATACACAAATAATTTTACATAAGCACGTAGCATGTCATCATATTACATATATGTAGAATATATGCAGAAGCAGCCTTTCACTCTGTCCCCTGCTTCCATAAATGCACCCATGTTAATTTCCACTAGTCTCCATATTTCTCATCATGGACATGTACACAGATGTATAGGGTTTTGGAAGTCATTGTTAGTGTCACAAAAATTCGACCATGTTAAATATGTTTTTTTTACGTTTCACTCTTCTCACTTAACAGTAGCTCAAATTAACAATTCTCAAAGTGTGGTCCCTGGACCAGCAGTATCAGCGCCACCTGGGAATTTTTAGAAACACAAATTCTCGGACCACACCCCAGACCTACTGAATTAGGAACTCTGGGGACAGGTCCCAGCAGTCTGAGTTTTAACAAGCCCTCCAGGTAGTTCTCATGCAGCTAATGTTCAGACCCTCTGTTCTAATTATTTCTTTTTTTAATAATCATGTTATATTTTGTGCTGCATATATACCAGAATTCTTTAGCTATACCCCGTGAAGGGCATTCATTTGGATTTCAGTCTTTTTTTCTGGTAAAATAATGCTGTAGTAAACATTCTTTTGCCTATATCCTTACATATGAGTGCTTTTGTTTCTGGGGGCTAGAATCTGAGAGGTGGGGTTACTAGGTTGAATCACACACAGACTTTCAGTTTTATAGATGTTGCCAGATTGCTTTCCACAAAGGCTGTTTCAATCCACATTTCCATTAGCAACGTCTGACAGTACCCAGGTCTCTCCAGCCAGAGGTGACATTGCTCTTTTAAAATTTTTCCTATTTTTTTTTTTTTTATTTTGGTGGGGGGAAGGTAACTAGATTTATTTATTTTTAGAGGAGGTACTGGGGCTTGAACCCAGGACCTCATGCATGCTAAGCAAGCGCTCTACCACTTGAGCTATACCCTCCCCCCCTTTCCTATCTTGATGGATGTAAAGTACATTGTTACTTTAATTTGCACTTCCCTGACTGTAGCTGAGTTTAAGCTTTTTTGTTGTTGTTATCAAATTTTGATTTGCTCTTCTCTGATTGCTTTTCATACTGTTGGCCCATTTTTCTGTTTGGTTATTTGTTCTTTTCCCATCAATGTATAAAAACTATCAATATTATAAGTATTAATCCTCTGAATGTTACCTTTGTAACAAGCATTTTTTCCCATATTTAACTTTTTTCCATTGACTGTGGTCCGGAGACTTCAGGTGTGCATGAGAATCACTTGAAAAGCATATTAAACCTATACTTTGTAGGGTACCACGCCAAGAATTTGATTCAGTAAATCTAGGGTGAAAAATCTGTATTTCTGACATTCCCAGATGCGATGCTGCTTCTGCTGCTGGTCCAGGGACCATACTTTGGGAATTACTAATTTTTGCCATGGAAAAGTTTAAAATTTGAATATAGTCAAATGTCTGCTTTTTCACTTACAGCTTTGGAATTTCTTGTCTTAATTTAAAAGGTCTTCCCAGTCCCTATATTGTACATATGGTCTCCAAGATTTATTTCAGTGTTATATCTTTAAATGTGTGATCACCAGGAATTTGTTTTTGTGTGTGACATAAGATAGGAGTCCTATTGCATCTCCATCAAAATGCTCACCAGTTGTCCTAGTACCAGATTATTAAGTGACCCATCATTTTCCCACTGAATTGAAATGCCACCTTTGTTATATAATACATACTAGAATTTATTTCTGTATCTTTTATTCTCCTCCAGTGATAATTGTATCTGTTCCTATTTCGGCATATTGGTTTGATTACAGGGGCTTTCATAATATGTTCTAGGATCTGGTAAGACAGAACCCGCTTATCCACTCTTTCTTTTTTATACTTTGCTATTTTTTGGCATTTATTCTTCTGTATAAAGTTTATGATTGTTTTATCTAACTTTTAAAAATCTGTGAGGGAGGATTTTAATTGGAATTACATTAAACCTGTTTATTAGTTTAAGAGAATTGGCTTTTTAAAAAATACTAAGTCTTTTCACCCAAAATACATTTCTTTTCATGTTTTCAAACTTTTATGTTCTTCAATAAGATTTTAGTTTTGCTTATGTAGGTCTTATGCTTTTTTTGTTAAATGTCTTCCTAAGTGTTCTGTGATTTTTATAAACATTTCTAGATGCTGATTGATACACTGAGAATTACGTAATTGCAATGGTTTTAATATTTCTCTGTTTGAGTTAATGTTAGCAGCTAATTTTTGGTAATAGCCTTTAATATATGTAAGTAGTTTATAGTCCCCTATTTTACTTTTGTGATTTTTAAAAAAATAAACGGCTGCTGAGAATTTTATAAAATGTCTTTTCAGCATCTCGTATTACACTATAGCTTTTCCTTCAATTTTGACTTATGTTTATAGAGTTTCTGATCTTGAGTCCTTACGTTTATGGAATAAACCCTACCTGTTTATCGAGATGCATTTCTAGCTTTTTGTTGCTTTTTTTTATTCATTTAAAAATTGAGATATAATTTATATACCATAAAATTTACCCTCTTAAAGTGGACAAGTCAGTAGTTTTTAGCATATTTATAGTTATGCAACTGTCGCCAACATCTACTTCCAGAACGTTTTCATCACTTCAGAAGGAAACTCTGCTCATTAGAAGTCATGCCCCATTCTCCCTTATCACCCGCATAGAAAGTACACTTTCTCTGTCTATAGGTTTACCTGTTCTGGACATTTCATATAAATGGAAGCACACAATATATGTCTTTTGTATCTGACTTCTTTCACTTAGCATATTTTTAAAGTTTATCCATGTTGTAGCGTGTATCAGTACTTCATTATTTTTTATGATGAAGTCATATTCCATTGTATGAGTATATCACATTTTATTCTCCATTTATCTGTTGATGGCCATTTGAGTTGTTCCCACCTTTTGGCTATTATGAACAATGCTACTATCAACATTTGTGCACAGTTTTTGTGAGGACATATGTTTCCATTTCTCTAGCGTATATACCTAGAGGTGGAATTGCTGGCTTCCATAGTGACCCTGTGTTTAACTTTCTGAGGAACTGCCACACTTTTCCAAAGCCTCTGCACCATTTTACGTTCCCACTCACAGTGTAGAATGTTTGTTATTCTACTCCTTTTTAGTTACAGCCATCCTAGTGGGTATGAAGTGGTATCTCATTGTGGTTTTGATTCGCATTTCCCTGTTGACTGATAATGTTGAGCCTCTTCTTGCTTATTGGCCGTTTGTGTATCTTCTTAGAGAAATTATTCAAATTCTCACCCACTTTTAAATTGAGTTATTTGAGGTATGAGAGTTGCTAATATTTTAAAACAGTTTATTCTTAATATTTCTGTTTTCTGAGGGGGCACTCCAACTTCTTTTGGGTTTGGTGAGCATTATCAGATCATTGGGTGAAACAGTAGTTTCTAGGCAATTAACATTTTTGTTTATTTTTGCTTGCATTAGAGAGTAACTCAGACATCTCCTCTACAAGTACCTAACCCGTCTTGGATGCATCACCAGTCATACCTCATGCAGCCTTCAGTGAGTGTTCAGAAGTGGGCAAAAGCCAAAGAGGCGGTTTGATGTAAAGAGAAACAGTGGGGTTTGATGACAGGAGATGCGGGTGTGAGTTCTGGCTCAGTCTCTTGTATAGCCCAGGTGTATGGCCTGAAATTCTGTGAGTTTGCTATTAGACAAGGATTCCTCCAGACGGATGGGCAGAGTGCCTGTTCCTGTTGCATAGCTGGGTTGTCGCTTGCCTGTTGTTTCCCAGGATATTTGAATGTCTGTTGTCAATGGTTCTGGTAGCCATGAACCACTGCTTCAGGCAGCCTTACAGGATGCTGCCACCCAACCTTGTCCTTTGCTGCTGCTTCTAGGGTTCAGTTCTGACACCGGGAATGGACCATCCAATTCCTCTCCAGCCTGCCTCCATGATGGGGCCTCTCACCCAGCAGCTGGGCCACCTCTCCCTCAGCAGCACGGGCGCGGTAAAGCGGGATGTTTCTGGTTATAAGCTCCCACCAAGCAAGAAATAGCTATGTAATACTCTTTGGTATAAATACTCTTGAATAAGGGTGGGACTCACTTCAGTGTCATTGAGGGCACACTCAGGACAGGAGAGAAACTGAAAAGGTAATAATCCATGAGCCAGGAGTGCAGCCATTCTGCTCTCCAGCTCGTTCCTTTTAACTGATTCTTCCTCATGAAACTACATGCATAATGTTTGTCTACATACTAGCTTGTCTAGGAGTTCATACACGTTTCTTACAAGTCCTTATCAAATAGCAACAAGAAGAGTGGGTGAAGCTTGTTAGGGCTCTTGTGGGTGGGGTGCATTCTGATGTGTACGGGGGGCTTGAAGCAGAGAAGGCAGTGCATTGAGAAAAAGCAGGAACTGGAAAGAAGACGAAAGGTAGTCTTACAGGTGGAAGTCTCTCTAAGCCAGTGTACTTTAGAATCACCTGAAGTGCTTTTAAAAAGCACTTCTAATTAAATTAGAATATCTGGGGATGGAACACAGGCATTTGTCGTTTTTAAAGCTCCCCAGGCGCTTTAAGTGTAGCCGAGAATCACCACTACGCCTGCTGATCTTTCTCATTCTAGTACATGCCAGCAGCCGCGGCGATGCAAGGAGCGTACATCTCCCAGTACACCCCTGTGCCTTCTTCCAGTGTTTCAGTTGAGGTAAGAGCTTTCTAGTCTCTTTGGATCGAGGATAGGAAAGCGAACAGGCAGACTTGCCCCTGATCAAGATCTTCCTTTCACAAGGTTGCTGATTCTGTGTTCACAAATAGCTGGTAGGTATGTGAAGAATGTAGGAAGGAAAGACTGTCTGTGTCTTTGAATGAGGCCCTTCCTCTCATTTGGCCAGGATGCTGGCTTGTATTGACTGGTGTGTCTAAATATTGGGGAAGTGATGCTGTGTGTGTGGATACACGTGCATCTGTGTGCACTCACAGGTGGGCGGGAGTGGGTGGGTCGGGGAGGGCACTCTAGTCCGGGCTTTAGCTAGGCTGCTTCAGGGGGAGGTGAGGAAAGGATGCACAGGGTGACTCTCTTCGCCCTGGCTGTGGTACAGGAGAGCGGCGGCCAGCAAAATCAGGTGACGGTGGAAGCCTCCTCAGACCACGGGGTCTATTCTTTCCAGTTCAACAAGTAACAGCGGTAAGAACCTCATGCCGAGGGCAGGGTGGGCGGAGCAGCCTGAAATCAGGAAGGCGCTCATGCTTGTTGCTCCCCCTCTCTACCCTCTCTGGCTCACGCCTCCTTTAGGATTTCCCTCCCTGTCTTTGTTGATTACAAGGGAATTCTTGGAGATGCAGATTCTCAGGACGGCAGAGGGCTACCCAGGATTGCAGCCCCGTGTGGGCCCTGCTGAAGACTAACGTTCGGCCGTCATTTGTCGCAGGCCTGGGCCTGGAGAAAGAAATCTCTGCACTTCTACCCTCTGCTCTTCCTCCTGTCCTGACGGAGACTGGGAGAAAGGTCACTTTTTGTGTGTGCAACAGTCAAGGAGATCAAAAACTTTTTCTCTTTTGTGAAGAAAGTTTTATGTTTTGTTTTAAACTGCAGTATTCTCTTTCCCTACTCCAAAGAGACATGGTGCCTGGAGCTTCTTCTCATCTTTATGAAAAACAATTTTGATGTGTTGGACTTACTTGGGAAGGCTTTTTAAAAAAAATTCTTTTCTTAAAAGGAAAAAGAAAGGTGTGGTGCTAGAACATTGATGAAGGAGTCTTACTGTGGGCCCTTCTTACCGAGTTTAGTTATGGACTATTTTGGGTGTGTGTGTAAGAAAATATGCAGACTTAAAGTTTTGTTTTATAAAGCTCTTAGATTACACATCCCATCTCTCCTTCACACACATTTTATGCCTTCTTTCTCTCATCTGAATTGTTTTTTTCTCTTTTCCATGTAACAGAGCCTGCCTACTTTGCCTCTTTACAGTTTTTAATTTTGTTTGTTTAAATTTCCCTTTTGAATGAAATTTCATATGGGATTTGGGGGCAGGGGGCTAGGCAAGGAACAAGGTGGATCACTAAGCAGGCAGTGGAAGTGGCTTTTCCTCCCTCTGCCCTGCCACATCCTGAGAGGAAAGACTAGACTTTGCCTTCAGGAAGCAGAAGTGCGAGCTAGGCTCACTGTGGAGACAGTTCCACAGCCGTTGGAAGTCATCCTTGATCTAAATTTGGATAAAGACTAGGTTTTCCCTGGCAAGTTCCAGAGGGATGGACCTACTGACTTCTTACTAATTCTTCTCACTGCCGAGGCCAACACCTTCTGAGGGAGTGTGTTCTCTGGGAACAGCTTTTTTGGAATATCTGCTTTTCTGCTTCCTGGAGCATCTTCTTTTCTGCCCTGGGTCTCAGGGCCTCTCTCTTCCCTATTGCACATCCTGTGCTCAGAGCCCTCGCATTTGTGACCTTGCTGAATCCATGCAGGTTCCTTCTCCACCGTCGATGATCAGCTGCTTCACCTCAAGATCAGTGGTTCTCAAGGAGTCGGTTTTGTCCCCTAGAAGCCATTTAGCAGTCTCTGGAGACTTTTTTGATTGTCATGCCTGGGAGTGGGGACTGTGTGCTACTGGCATCTTGTGGCGAGAGACCACGGACGCTCCTGAGCACCCTCCAGGGCACATTACAGCCCCAGCTGCCCCAACAAAGAATGATCTGGCTTGAGATGTCAGCTGGTGCCAAGGCTGAGAAACTCTGATGTAGACGATATTGTCCCTGCCTCCTGTACCAGAGGACTTGGTAAGTTCCCACCCCAGCCCTGACACACAGTGCCTTTTGATGCTCATCCAGCTAGTTGAGAGGGACAGAACTGAGGCCCTTGAATTGTCCCCAGCCTTTGATCTTTGGCATCTCTGCATACAGCAAAGTTGTCCTTGAAAGGCTTATGCCACCGTGCACATGCCATAAGCACACAGGTGGGGACTGTTCTGTGTGTGTGCTGTGTAGCTGGGAAAGGACAAAGCTGGCCGGAACTGTCCAGAGCAACCTGCCCGGCCCTGGTGTCTTTGGGTCCCTTTTCCGGGGAACTAGGATATCAAAAATAATTTTCCTTCTTGTAGAAGGACAACAGGGAGCTAGAACAGAAAAGGGCAGCAAATCCCATATCACTATTACAAGGTCAGGAGTCCTTCAAAAAGGGCTATATTTTGCTCTTCAACTCCATCTCCTTCTGCAAGCCCTGCATCTGTGCACATGGAGACAGACAGGAGGATGCCTTTGTCCACCTTCTAGGAAGTAAGATCCTGCACCTGTCTCTTTCCAATCACTCCCTTCTGCACTGAAAGGAGAGTCCTGCTCACTTCAAGGTCGGTGCCTTTTCTCCGGTCAGTCAGAAAGCCCAGTGATGGCGAATGGAGAAACAGGTGTTCATTAAGCTGACTCTGGGGGAGGAATGAGATGGTACTGAGGGGCACGAAGCTGCAGTGTCAGTTGTTGTGCAGAGAGCTTGGGCCCAGCTTCCCCTCCCCTCCACCCACCCCAGGGGTGAGAGTGCCAGCGCTTCCGACCCCTAGAATGTCCTTTTGTGTATCCCTGGAGGTAAGGGAGTGGGGGGAAGTGCATGGGATACAAAGTGCAACGGACAGAAGTGCCACTATTGGTTTTCTCATGGGTGCTTCCGGCCTCAGGAAGGGTTTATCTAATGGAAAACAGCCCTAGCCCAGTAATCCTCTGGACGGATTTGGCTGGGCACGTAGTTCTTGTTGCTGAGTCTCTAGCCCTTAGTCAAAGACAGCACACCATAGATTTCTTGTCAGTGGCCTCAAAGAAAAAGAGAAAAATCAAGAATCCTGTTCATTTAATTAACAGTAATTTGGGAGAGCCTGGTTTTGCTAGTTTAGTGAAATGAGGGCCTTTCACATGTATAAGCTGTTGATTTCACTGCCGCCCCTCCTCTGCCTCCCAGAACTCCTGGTTCTGTCTACTTTCTTTGTATTTAAATGTCTAAATGGCTGTGATTTTGCTTTGTTTTGTTTTAAAATTCTGTAGTTCCCTTTTGTGGGTTCTCCTGTGTGAATCCACTTAATAGATTCTGCTAGTGCTTCTGTTTTGGGCAGGTTGGGGCAGGGCGAGTGATGGAGAGCCTGACGTTGTTTCTGTAGTAGCTAACGGCACTGTGGGATTTTTTTTATGGTGCTCTTGGGTTACACTCATGATATTTTTCCCCTAACTGTTCATTTCTGACAGTTCATAGCATGGGTGAGTGGTTGGAGAAAGGGGAGAGGAGTGAGGGACAGTTTGGTGACAGTGGTGGCAGGGGAACTGTAGGGGGAGCTCTCAAGCTCACGGCCTAGGGCTGGGCTTTTAATTTTTTAATTTATATTTTTAAACACCTTTATTGTGGTATGGTTCCTGCACCATAAGCTATACATATTTCAAATGAACAGTTTGATGAATTTTGATTTACCAATGAAACCACTACCACGATCAAGATAGCTAACACTTCCATCACTCCCCAGGAGGTGCAATTTTCCAATTCCCGGTTCATCCCTTCCCACCGCCTTTAAGGGCTGGCCTCTTTGAACACTATACCTCGTGCTTTCTGAGTCCTGTCTTCACGGAGCCCAGGTCGTACTGTCTCCGCACTTCACATTTCACTCCCACTCGTTACAGATGCTCATGCGTTCTTAAAATATTTGAGTACTTTGTATTTTTCTGTTTCCAGTCAACTAGAACATACCAGAATCCCTTTCTCAGGTGAGATAAGCCTTTACCAGCTCAGAGCCTGCCCGTCCCATCTCATGCCGGTGGTGTTAACTGCTCCTGTCTCACTCTGAGATGATACTCAGCCCGAGGCTGATTAGTTTTTTGGAGGGTGTGGGTCAAGGTTAGGGAAGATGTGGGAATGAAGATGGGGAGAGGTTTTATTTTTAAAGAGTGTTTTTAACCAAAGAATTTGAAAAGCTGCCCAGACTAGGAAGCCTGGTGGCTCTGAGGTAATAAATAGCCCTTGTCAGTAGAGACGGGAGTGGTAGGGGGCATCGCTTGCGCTTGAGTAAGGACTCGACTTTGCTGCTCCACCAACCATGCCTGGGTCGGGCCACCTCAGCCCAGTTCCGTTCCTCTTCCTTTCCTAACTTACTGATCCGTGAGCTCATTCAGCCCCTGGGTGCCTGCAGTGCTCATTCTCTGCTGCTTCAGTGTCAAACCTTTGGGGCCCTACATGTGGGTTGTTACGTTGCTCCACAAAGACACTGAGAGGCCTTGCTGCAATGGAATGTTGCAGGAATCCCAACAGTAGAATCCATTCTTCTAGGAAAAAGAATCATTGCTGCTCTCTTGTGCACGTGCCCCACCTCCTGGGAGAGCAGCAGCATTGCACACGAGGCGCTCTCCTGACTTTCCTGGCCAAGGGCAATAAACTTGGGTGGGTGATCAGGTCTGAACTTGTCCCCAGGCGCTACTAGACCAGCTTCAGAGAAGGGTGGGCATTGTGGAAGCTCATCTGTAAGGGCTAGATCTGAAATCTTGTGCCTTATCAGACTGATTCTTCCTGATTCCCTCTTAAACCAACTACTCCATCTCTGTGCTACCTGCATTTTAGATCATGTTTACTCAGCTTTCACCCCTTCCTTTTGTAGGAGGGTCCTCCTTCAGCAGCCGAGACTGGCCAGTGAGCTCTGTCACCCTAGTCATCTTTGCTGAATTCTCTTCACCGGCCGCCTCCCTGGGGGTGGTCCCTGCGGCTGCAGTCTTGAGAAGGCTAGGTCCCCCTCCCGCTTACGGCGGCTCCTTCTCCCCGGCATATCCGCTTGTTTTGAATAAGCCGTCGTTCTCCAGGCGTATCCCAGAACTTCCTTGTCCTTGTTACATATCTACCTCAGTTTCCCAGTTCAGCAAGGGCACAAGCACCTGGTTTACGTCTTTCCTTCCTTCCCGGCATGAGGTCTAAGAAGCTGGGAACTAGAAAGGGGCTCATGATTAAATACAAAACTCTTGGTTATTTGTTTCTGAATGTCTTGAGATTTTTTTTTACCTCATAATCACTAGAATAGTGTGAACTCTTCAGTTAAGTCTTGCTGTGACAGGCCAGGAGGCAGGCTAGGTCATGACTGCTTAGAATACTAACGAATGCTTGGGAGCCACCCCAGGACAACCAGCACCAGGGCAGAGCTCAGAACCTGAGGACGAGAGCTGGCCGTGGCTGCCCTGCGGCTGAGCAGGCAAGCATGCGCCCAGCGGGAGTTCGGGGTTTGTACAGGGCTGGAAACAGAGATGTTCCTTCTCCACCTTATTCCAGTTAGTTTAGAGGGTTCACCAAAGCAGAATTTCCAGCCTGGAGGGTGATAAGCTTTCCCACCCTGAGTAAAGAAAGTTCTTGCCCCATTATTGGTGTCCACATCCTCCAACACATCTTTTTTTGGGTGGTTAGTGCTCTCTTGCATGCACTTACCACTTTAGACAGGAAATAAGCTTAATTTATACTCAAACACGTTTTGTACATTTCTCTTCATCCAGAGGTTTCTGTAGTAGCATACTCTGGCCATGTCTGTGCCAGTGCCACCCATTCTTCTTTTTCTGACCCTTGGTATTCTCATGTTCCTTCTCTACAATTTGGTAAAGCTTTATTTTGTCTTATTTCAACTTTTGTTTTGAAATAAAACACAAAATTCTACCTCCTGGTGTCTTATCCATTGGGGGAAGCTGGGAAGGTGGTGATGGGCACATACACTCACTATAATGGGAACACAGGGGGCAGGGGAGGAACCAGGCACACTTGGCTCCTTTGTTCTAGCACCTCGGTCAGGAGCACCTGCTCCATCCACAGAAGCAGGAATTCTGCCTTTGGTGCCTCTTGCACAGGAAGGGCCAAGCTGGGAGTTGTAGGGGCATAACAGCTCGCCTGCCTGCTGACTCCTACATCAGGTCAGGCATACTCACCCTGCGCCCCGTCTTCCCCTTTAGGTAAGTATGAGAACATAAGCTGAAGATAAATACACGGAGTCTTTTGAATCTATCAAATGTGGTTTTTATTCAACTGACAAGCACTTTCTACAGCTGCACTTGTGGAACATCACATGGCAAAAACAGGAGTTTTTTTCTCTAGACTTTTTTTTTTCCTTTTTTAACCTTATTAAAAATGAGATTGGTCCTAAAAATATAGAAAGAAATAAATTTAAATTCACAAAAAACTGTACATTATCAAAAAGTCACTAAAACACCACATTTGGTTATATAAAAAGTCAAGTCCCTTTTGTTGTAAAAGGAACATGGAAACTTGTTGGTGTTGATGGTGTGGTTTTTCCTGTTAACCAGACTGATGGGGAGGGGAAACAAAGGGGCAGGGGGTGGGTTTTATTTACTTTATTAACCTGCCTTCCCTACCAAATACTCTTATCTGTCAAGAAGAGAAAATCCACCTAGCTCAAGGGGCGGTGAAGATGAGGAAAGAAAAGTGAGAAATGGCCCCTTTGATCATGCCCTACCCCCACCCCCTTCAGCCCCTACATCTTCAAACAGGCTAGGACTCCACCCGACCTTAAGAGTGCCTGGTCCCTAGACAGAGATGGAGCTGGGAGAGGAACACAGAGCAGGAACAGTTGAGATTTCACTCCCCCATCCACCTAACCTCCAACAGTAAAATTAATCTAGTACATTTTACACCAGGGGAAAACTGCTGTGGGGAAAAAGAAGAGCCCCACCTATAACAGTTCCAAACGTTTGACTAACACAAAGTTTGTTACAGCGCAGTTATTTAGATAAAATATAAATATTTATGCATAATATAAAGTCAATTCAAATATTCTTCAATCCACCTCTTATTTAAAAGCAAAAAAAAAATCTCAAATAAAATTAAGTTTTGAGGTTTATCTGACAGAAAAGGCGACTTTAGAAATAGGCTATGGGGCAGAAGGGGCGTAAAGGAGTAGGAATGGGGCTGCCCCAGGACCTACACTGCCCCGTCTCCTGGCTATTCAGTGCTGCCAGAAGTACAAGGAATGTTCCACCTCACCTGGCAGCCCCTCTCCCACCAATGGAACATTTCTTGGATGCCTCAGCTCTCTGCTTGGGCCAGCCAGCCGCCACCTCCCCAGTGCAAGTACCCGTAATCTCTGATGGGAGGGGCTCTGCTGAGCAGGAAAGCAGGGGGCCAGGGGCCCATGGCTATAGCTGGGAGTTAGCAGCTTTCCTCTCACATGTTGGGGCTTAACTTGGGCGTAGTCACATGTAGGGCAGTGGTGGACCCAGAACCCATCCTCCCTACTCTCTTGTGCTCCGGGGTCTCTGCTGCTGGGGAAGGGGGTCCCAGGGCATGAAGTAGAAAAGGGAAGGAAAGCACAACTAAACCCACAGAAGCTCATGGGATTAGGAAAAGATCCAGTTCTACCCCTCTCCCTGCAAAAGCTTTAAGACTCAGAGCTACTGAAAGGAGAGGGAGTTCCTGCTGAAAGATTGCACAGTTTGAAGAGGCTGGAACAGAAATGACTGGGAGAGAGGGGGAGAGACACAGCCTTGTACCCAGAAAAACTGTTCCTGTGGTTTCCCAAAGACAAAGTGATGGTTTAAAACAAGGGGGAAAGTGGGAAAAAAACAGATACTTGGGGAAACTGAATGGATGCCACCAAACAAAACAGGGGCACAATCACAGCACCCTCTCACACACACATGCACACACCTCTCTCTCTCTCTCAGGCCAGTTGATTGCTACCTGGCCTCCATCTTGGGGATGTGCCCAAACTCAGCAGTAGTTGTCCCTGAGGAGTTCCCAAGAGGGAGGTTTGGGTAAGAGGTGGGGAAGGAAGCTGGAAGGCCCAAGGTCCTGGGTGCCTCCCTGCTCTCTCCCCAGTTGCTAAGTTTCAGAAAAGGCTAGAAACTCAGCATTTGAGGAGTATCCAACATTACAGAGGGCATAACTATTGGCAGGAAGATCAAGGACAGAGAAAAGACAGGGACCTCTGAACTTTTTTTTTCCTTTGAAGGGAAAAAAATTGGTGAGAGAAAAGGAGGGAGGAACCCGTACACAACAGTTTTACATTATTGGGAGAGAGAAAACCTGCAAGAGGGGAGAGGAAAGGAGAGAGAGAAAAGCAGGGGAGGGACTGAACATGGAAGCAGCATGTTCAGGGCCCGGTGTCCGGCTCGACACACTTGGGAGTTAAGTCCACTTTACTGGCCGTCACTGCGGGTCCACACACAGTACAGAGTGTTTCTCGGTTTCACACATTCACTAGAACTATTGCTATTGTTAAATAGCCCCAGAATGCTGGGGCACGTACAGGGAAGGTGAGGAAGCTGGGAGGAGGAAGTAGGGACTTCTTTCCTCCTCCTTTTTTAATTAGGAAACAAAACAAAGGAAAAATTATTTTTTCTTTCTTTTTTTGGCTTTCAGTCCAAAAGGACCTCATCTCTGGCCCTCTTATTTGAGGAACAAGAGGAGGAAAGGGAGAAGGGGGTGTAGGGATAAGATGTGGGGCGCTGCCAAGGATAGGGTCAAAAATCAGGGCTATGTCTCTGACTTGAGTATGGACCCAGGGCAGCATCAGCAGGTGAGAATGGCAGGGTTGGTTGGTTTGGAGGGCAGGGGGTGATGCCGCAAGGTGAATCTCCCCACCCTTGCCTCACAGATTGGCCTGTTTTCCCTGATAAAACTCCTCCCAGCGGCTCTCGAAGAAGCGGCGCATGATGTGCCCTGCCTTGCCCACTTCAGAGTCATCCTCGTTGAAGGTCTGGCAGTTGTCAAAGACCAGGAGTGCATCAGCCGCGAACTCCTCTGAGCTGGTGTACCTGGGCAGGGGTGGAGGCAGGGCTGTGAGGTGGATGGGAGGCACGGCAGTAACAGAGGAGCTGGAGAGGCGCCGACGTCTACTTACCCTCCCCGGAGCAGCCGCTCCCGCATGGTGGAGAAATCCATAGGGTTTTTGATGATGCGTCGGTACCCACTCACCAATCGTGGGTTCACAGGCTCCAGGAAAGGCCAGGCTGCATCATGGGACTCCATCTCCATCAAGATAATCCTATTATGAAAGAGACAGTGATGACTGCATTGTCGGGAAACAAACACACTGACACCTCCCAGCCCTTTACTCTGGCGAAGGAAGAGACAGCTGTCCAATGAATTCGCTCAACTCACTCGCAAAATGTGAGATCGCTGTGGTGGCTCCGCATGGAGAGCCGCCGCCGCTTTGAGGGGGACAGCCCTTCTTCTGAGTACCGAGGCGCTGTTGGGCTTTCTCGGCCCCTCGACAGTACCCGGCGCCGGCGGCTGTCACCCTCTGGGAAGTTCAGTGCGTAACTACTCTTCCGCTTCTGGCCTCGTTTTGGGAAACCAGGCTTCTGAGTCAGTTCCCCGTCTACCTGCTAAGGATAAGAAAAAGGTGAGATCAGCAACAGCTGAACGTGTGCTCTGCTTGCCCTCCAGTTAATTACAATCCCTCCTTGTCTAAGTGTGAATACGTTCATGCATGAGGTAGCACGTGAATTTATTCACATAACCCAGTAAGGCAGGTAAGAGGGAGAGCATAATCGTTCCCATTTTACAGAGGAAAGCAAGTGAGGTTATAGAATTTAAGTGACTTTTCCAAAGGACCAGAACCCAGGTCTCCGAGCACTTAGTCTGGAGTCCTTCAGGAGGGACTGAAGCCATGGTAAGAAGTGGTGTCTGTTGGACTGGAGGCAAACGGAATGAGAAGAATCTCTGATTTCTGCTTGGGAGTGGAATGAGAGAGCAGAAGGCTTACCTGGGCCAAACAGACAGCACAGAACCAGTCTCCTTCTGGGACAGCCTCCATCTTGGGCCGATGGCAGTAAATATGGCAGCCACGGTCACATCCATCACAAAGTAGAAGAAACTCATCGTTGTCACCCTTCCGGCAAACTAGACAGGTCTGGACCAAGGTTGTGAGGAGGCAGGGTGAGCCTTCAAGTCTCTGCCTGCCAATGACCCCACCCACCCCAGCTGGCCATCTCTTCAGCCTCCCCAGGCTTTCCAGGCCTCTTACCACTTTGTTGACGGACTTCTCCCAGGCAATGGACCTCTCCAGCTGGCCTAGGCACAAGCACACCTGGGCCGCACTCCGGCACCGCTCTAGCGTTTGGCGCCAGGCCCGAATGCGAGGGGTGATCTCGTATGATCTGGAGGGAGAAAGTGGAGATTTTCTGATGAGGAGCAGGATCCAGTAAATTTATCCAAGAATAGTATATGTGGCAGGGGGCACTCACATCTCTGTAGTGGTGCACTGGGGGGCACTACTGGGCGTGCTGAGCAGGGCCTTCTCCAGCACAAATTCATGAGCTGGCCAGAGGGGCTCCCGCAGGTACCGCCTCTCCACATTCTGCTCCAGGGCAGCAAGGCGCATCACTGCCAGGTCCAGAGGGTTGGTAGTTTTACGCTGGGGTGCCAGTCCTTCCTTGCCTCGACCTCTCCAGGTGATATCCTCCTGGGAGTCAGGTAGGTGCTCACAGTAAGCCAAGTCTTCACGAGTAGAGTCTGGGCTGGGACATGTCCAGCCCTGCAGGTGGGAGAAAGAAAGAAAACTCATTATTAAAGGAAGAACATTAAGCATAGCAAAAAATATAACCCACTTAGGGTCATGATAGGTCACTTGTGAAGCGGGAATGCAGGTTTTTCCTAATACGTACAAGATATTAATACCCTCTCCTCAACAACCCCCTGCC